CTTCTAGTAGTTTTACCTTTTTCGGGTGTTTGAGTTAAGTTAGGATTGTAGAGTTGGAGCTAAGGTAGAATTTGCAATTGAATAGGAGTGTAGTGAGATCGGACATGCAGGGGGTTATCTGTATAGATCGGGGGATGCGAGGGACCACCAGATGGCGTATTACTCGACCTCGAGCTCGACCTGGACCAAGGTCATTTTTGGGGCAGACGGGAAGGATCCAGGTCGGGCCCAATGGACGAGCAGGTCGGGCCCAATCATCGAGGTCGGGTTCCTGGAATATCATATATATATATATATATATTTTTTTTAATTTTTTATTTAATTCTTTAAAGGTATATTATATTAATAACGCTGAATATTAAATTTATTTTTTGTATGTATAATTATTATTATTTATATAATTAAGGTCTTAAATTTGTATTCTTTTTAAAATATGTTTTTATTATATGGGGGGAAAGGGAAGGAGAAGGGGAATTGTGAGAACCACCACATTGCATATGATAATTTCACAATGTTGCACTAGATCTACATAAATTTTATTTCAAATGAAAATTTTCAAAAATTTTTTGAATTCTACAAAAGTCTAAAAGTTTTAAAATAAAAGTCTATATAAGTTTACAAAATACTTTCACTAATTCTATACAAATCTCTAAAAATTCCACGAAATCCACAGAAGTTAACACTTAAAAAAAATCCATTAAAATTTTCAAAAATCCCAATTAAATACACCCCCTTAAAAAGGTTTTTAGAAATGATTTTATTCGATAAATAGTTAAATAAAATTTAAGTTACAGACCTGTCTAGATTATATAATTACTCATTATTTGGTTGAAAATTTTTGGAAGCATGTAGAGATAGGGCCACGCTTCAAGTGTGCTGTGTGCCCCCTATTCGTCCAGGACCCGCATGGTTTTGGACGAATAGCAAACTTCTCCACCTATGTATATATTAGTCACATCTCCTACTACTAGAGCAGAGTTGAGTTGACACAATTCATTATATGAAAACGAGGCTCACTTGTTGTACGGACTAGCTTGACGTGATTTCTCATCCCACATAGGAAATATCACAAGAATGATGATATTTTGACACATTGTTTTTTTTTTTTTAATGTGGTTTTTGATCCCATTTAGGGAATATTGATAAATTATTTGAACTCTTCTCTCGGTGATCCCTGTTTGTTTCATACGTGTAAGTGAATTAATGACTTTTAATGTTTTTTTTTTAAATCTTGATAATAGTTCATCTTCTCTCCGTGATTAGTGTGTTGCATCTTTGAGTTTACTCCCACCTATATATACACACATATATGTGTGTATTAGTGTTGATGTGACTAACCTGTGCAGGTGTCTCCATCGACCAGTCACTCACTGGTTGATTTTTTGATCCCACATGGACAATATCAATCGATGTTTATTATTGATGTTTTATAAATTTGCACTCCCTGTTTGATCCATGTTTCTTTCATTTTATTTGTTCATTCTCGGATCTACAGCTCCAGTAAGTGAATTTATTACTTCATGATTTATTTTTTTAAAGAATAGAATTCATGAATGTCTTATTCCTTGCTTCTTTTGGTCTTGTGAGAATTATGGGCTTATGGGGTCTCTATTTCTTGGTTCAATTGGATGTTCGTGAAACATTTAGATTCAGATTCTAAGGAATCTTGGTTTTTCTTTTTCTTTTCTTTTCTTTTTTTTTTCATTTTTTTTGCATGTTCTGTTTTTTCTGGAAGCGATGTGAATTGGATAAATGGACAGTGATGAATGTTGATCTGTTCTTATTCTTGATTTATTTATTTTCATTATGTGATTTTGCAACTGGGCATAAATTGTAATGTGAATTCACGTTTACAGCTATATTTTTATTGTATTTTAGCAGATTATCGAGCACCTAATTTCGCATTCAATCATTTCCTTTTATTGAAGATCGAGTATTGGAAGAATGTCTCTGCTTTCAGTGGACGAGTCTCAAAATTGTAGCACAAAAAATGTGGATTCTTCGAGTAGTGTGTTTGAATTGGAAGAATTTGATTTCTCAAGATTACCTGATCGTCCTCGAACTTTGAATATGGACAGACAGCGATCTCTCGATGAAAGGTCCCTTGCTGAGATTCCAATCGGGTTGTCTCCACATCCCCCTTCTAGAGCTGACAACTTCAATCGAGTTCTCGACCATTTAGATATTATATTTTCACCCGGTAGAATATCCGGGTTCAGTACTCCTAGTCCTAGGTCGCACTTTGTTTATGAGCCACACCCCATGACTGCAGAGGCTTGGGAAACTTTAAGGCGTTCTTTGGTGTACTTTCGCGGTCGGCCTGTAGGGACAATTGCTGCTTTGGATAACTCTGAAGAAAAACTCAACTATGATCAGGTGAACGTCCGTTTACGTGTCAAGCACATTGTCTTCTTTCCATTATATTTGCAAACCGTTGGATATTTGCTACTCAAGTTATTATGATGTGCATCGTTGCGTCTCTTCTAGTTAGCCATGGATGACTAAAATTTGCAGTTCGAGTTAGTTTAATGTAGTCTTGTCACTTCATTTTTTCATATTCTTGAAATGTTAAATTGGGAGTATAGAGAAAAACTCCCTGTTTGATGGCCATTATTTTGAAAAAAAATGATGTTTTGATTAGTGAATTTTGAAGGATGTGTGGTTAAGAAGTAGGAAAAAGTTTTCGGTCAAGTGTGTGAACACGTATGGTTAAAAATGAGTATGAGAATTAAAGAGTTTTATTTATTTTTTTGATGACCGTGGGTGTTCAGGCCAACTTGCTCGCTCCTCAACTAATCCCACGAGGCCTTGAAGTTTACGGTAGGGTACTCACCTCAATGCCTAGTAGTCAGCTGTACACAAATTGATACTTGTGATTTTTGGAGAACATAGTTGGGTTCACCACTTGGTGTAGAGGCAAACTTGGAGATTTTTGTTTTATTTTAGGAACTATATTTTCATGAATGGCAGTTTCATAAAAAGAAATATTTTTCCAAACTATGAAATTTGATTCGAAGAAATAAAATATTAATTATTTTGGTCCCAGAGGTTGGTTACTGATCTTGCGAAGCTTTAGGCATTGTCTCAAAATTAAAATCATGAATGCGGTGAGTGAAACTGTTAAATCTTTGTAGGTGTTCGTCAGGGACTTTGTTCCAAGTGCACTGGCTTTTCTGATGAATGGGGAACCTGAAATTGTAAAAAACTTTATCCTCAAGACTCTTCGTCTTCAGTCATGGGAGAAAAAGATTGACCGATTCCAACTGGGAGAAGGTGTGATGCCTGCGAGTTTCAAAGTATTACATGATCCTGTAAGGAATACTGAAACATTGATTGCAGATTTTGGTGAGAGTGCCATTGGGAGAGTGGCTCCTGTAGATTCTGGCTTTTGGTGGATCATACTACTTCGGGCCTACACGAAGTCTACTGGTGACTCTTCTTTGGCTGAGATGCCTGAATGCCAAAAGGGTATGCGCCTGATACTCAGTTTATGCCTTTCAGAAGGATTCAACACATTCCCGACACTTCTTTGTGCTGATGGATGCTGTATGATTGATCGTAGAATGGTGAGTTTCTTAGAATCAATAATAAATATTTGTATCTGAAAATCATTATTATGATTGTGTTGAAAAACGTACATAGGACCAGGTATTTAATTGTGCTTTACATAAAGGGAATCCATACACAGTGCCTATAATATATCTTTAAGGTTTCTCAAACTCCTCTTCAGTGGTTTTACATAATTGGGGTGTGCTAATTCCCCTTAGAGTTGCGTCACTGCTACTACGAAAGCCCCAACTGCTGGGTCCTCGCTTACTTCTGACTTCTGATCCCGCTTCAAAGACTGTCGGTTGATGCACTTGCTAAGAAAGTGGATTCTCCCCAAAACTCGAACTGCACCTGATGTGTTCTCTTACATGTTTGCTGCATGTTTTCATCTCAGTTTCTTACTGGGTATTTATAACTGATATATATTCTCAGGGTGTTTATGGATACCCAATTGAGATACAAGCACTCTTCTTCATGGCTCTAAGATGCGCCTTGGTTTTACTCAAGCAAGATACTCAAGGAAAGGAGTTCATAGAACGAATTATCAAGCGTCTACATGCGTTGAGCTACCATATAAGAAATTACTTTTGGCTGGATTTGAAGCAGCTTAATGATATATATCGATATAAAACAGAGGAGTATTCTCACACAGCAGTCAACAAGTTCAATGTCATGCCTGATTCTCTGCCAGAATGGGTTTTTGATTTTATGCCAATGCACGGAGGCTATTTCATTGGAAATGTCGCCCCTTCAAGAATGGATTTCCGTTGGTTTTGCTTGGGCAATTGCATTGCTATACTTTCATCCTTAGCAACGCCTGAACAGGCAACAGCCATTATGGATCTTATTGAATCACGCTGGGAGGAGTTGGTTGGAGACATGCCTCTAAAAGTTTGTTATCCAGCCATACAGAACCATGACTGGCGGATTGTAACAGGATATGATCCAAAAAATACTAGATGGAGCTACCACAATGGAGGATCGTGGCCAGGTAATCTTTTTACCCCTTCAGATCCTTTTGATGAAAATGTGTTGAGATCAACTAATAGTGATGGTGTGCTTTCGAGTGAACTAGCCAGAAGAATGTATCAAGGGAAAACTACTGGACCTCTTTTAGGGAGAAGATAAATTGCTGAAGGCTTTTGAGCCATTTCTGCTTACATTGAATAATGAGGACCATCTATATATAGGGTTCTCAAAAAAATTTGAAGATCGATACATTTCTGATAAAAATTTTACTAAGCTAACTTTATTTACTCCATATTTTGAGGATTTTCAAATGGTTCTTGGAATAGTTTCAATCTCATTCTTCTACTGAATTAATATCCTCCTCATATTCAATTTAATTATGGTGGGTGCAGTGCTTCTATGGCTTCTCACAGCAGCGTGTATCAAGACAGGGCGCCCCCAAATTGCTAGACGAGCCATTGAACTTGCTGAAGCCAGGTTGTCAAAAGATGGCTGGCCAGAATACTATGACGGAAAACTTGGTCGTTATATTGGGAAGCAGGCTCGGAGATACCAAACATGGTCCATTTCTGGCTATTTGGTTGCCAAAATGATGCTCGAAGACCCTTCACATTTGGGTATGGTTGCTCTCGAGGAAGACAAACAGTTGAAACCCGTCTTGAAGAGATCATCCTCGTGGACCTTTTGATTGTGAATTGCCAATCTTCTATTTGTCCAGAACACATTGTTTATATCTTGCAAAAGGAACAGAAATGAGACTGTAGTTTTAGTCTTTTGAGTTGGGAGCTTTGGAAGTAAGTTTTAGCATGTAAGACTAGTTTGCATGTCTTTTAAATAGATTCATTCTTTTTGCCTTTTATGTGATCTCATTTTCTATCTTGATCATGGCCTTGGAAAAAAAAGGTTCAATTTTAACGTGCATCTAAATGTAGAGATGGCAACGGGACATGTCTAGGTTGAGACAACCTCTCTCGCTCCCCGTCTCACCGGGTAATTTCCTATCCCATACCCGCCCCATTATCCGTTTAAGGCGGGACGGTTTACTACCCGTTTAATTTTTATTTTTTTTAAAATTTTTGATAATTCATTTTATTGTCCATAGTCATTAAAGTGAGGCAATAATGTTTTTTTAATTTTTTTTATTTATTTTGAAAAGGTAAATTATTCAAATATATTTGATAAACTAAGTTTTTTATTTTTTGTCATGTATTAGTTTTCATCTTCTATTGGAACTAATGAAATTTCGTAGAATTTTTCATTTAAAATATTAAATTCTTAAAAAAAAATTAAATGGGACGAGGTAGGGTACTTGTTACCCGTACCTACCCTACCCACCCCGTCTTTGATCCGAATACCCGATTAAGTGAGTAATCCCCGCCCTGTTCGGGGCGAGGCCTCGCGAGTATCGGATTTGATGAGTTTTTTTTATTCATTCCTATCTAAATGAGTCATGCCTACCATCGATGGCATATCGTAATTATTAAGGATCTATCTAACAGCTATGAATTGAACAGAACGACAACAAAAAATTTACATAGTTGATTCCAAAATTTAAGAACAAAATTTCAATCTTTTCCCTTTTTATTTGTTGTGAAGTTGTGCTCAACTCAAATATTTCAGGTCACCAATTGATTTCACCAGAATTATGAATGGGGCTGGCCTGTGTCTTTACTATTAATATTTGAGGTTTCATATTAAAATCTTAACATTATTAAGATGAGTAGCTCAATTTCTTATATATTGGTTTATATTTAAATATTTTAATAGATGTGTGATTTATCTCTTAACAAGATGGTGACTTGTTTGACTATTTCAATCTTGAAATTCACGTGCTTATTTTTTGAGTTTTGATCGGATCAAATTACTTGTTAGAATTTAATAGGCTTTGAATCTCTGATACCATTTAAAGACTTGAAATTCCATCTTAAATGTTAACCTTATTAAAAGGAGTATGTGAAAGAGGAAATTACATAAATCCTATGTTTTAAGATCTAATTTCAAAAATTAGATCCAAAGTTTGTTCGTTAAAAAATCAGGTTATAATTAAAAAAATTAATATTAATAATTATATTNCCCTAAAATTCATTCCACCTCCTCCTCGTCTTTGTGCTTGGACCGCCGCCCAACCAGTTCTCTCTCTACCCCCTCCTCTTTCGCCGCCGTCGACCCGCCACCGCCACCTCCACGAGAGCCCACGGGTCCAGATCTATTGTTTCTTCAGTAGCACGGTGCGACTGCGTACGAGAGCCCATAGATCTAGATCTGTTGTTTTTTTCAGCAGCGCGGTGCGACTGTGCCTCTACGCGATCCAGATCTTTTTTTTTTTTTGAGTGGTGAAGTGGAGTTGCGCGGTGCTGTTGTATTTGTGGGTGTAATCTTTTATCCCCATATTTAATGATAGTCTTTATTTAATTTTTTTGGCTAGAACTATAAAATATGTATTTGTCTTGCAGGCATTCAGGGTAAGATGAGGGATTACCAACTTGCTGGTTTGAATTGTCTCATAAGGCTGTACGAGAATGGCATCAATGGCATACTTGCTGATGAAATGGTACGAGTAGAGATTACCATTTGCCATTGAGTAACGCATGAAATGGTACGAGTAGAGATTACCATTTGCCATTGAGTAACGCAGTAATGCATATAATGATATTTGTTTTTGTCACGTCAATTCAGGGGCTTGGTAAAACATTGCAGACAATTTCCTTGCTAGGGTATTTGCACGAATTTAGAGGAATAACTGGCCCTCACGTGGTTGTTGCTCCAAAATCTACACTTCGGTATTGTTGTGTTGGTGGTGGTATTTGTTGATTGT